AATCCGATACACTACCGCCTGACCTCATTTACCGTACCAAAGATAGGGCGTTGTCTGCCTGAGACAAGTCAGTACTGCCAAGTATATTAAGATCCGACATGCGTAACATCTGTTTGAAACTTCACTGCATAAGAAGCCCCCGACATCTAGAGTACGGGTAGGGGGAATGCGTAGGGTGTACTCAGTGAGAACCCACTCGAAATGGTTGAGATTCAGCCAACCATGATAAGATGATCAAATCACTCTTTTCTGAGCCGAGACAATCTAAAATTGAACGAGTAAACAGTCAATCCCCATCAAGTAAAAACTTAACAAGAATGTAAAAGACTTTTCTCGGCACTGCCATTTTCTTCCCCATCCATTCAGGAGGGACATAACCACTGAAAATAATTAAGATTGCCACTGAGTCTCCTCGTACAGGCGGTCTCGTGCATTGAGTCCAATAATGGACCAGGATACTCGAACAACCGCCTGCATGCGGTGCCCTCAGACTTGCAAACACACACTGTTAAGCATTCATCAGTTCACGCGGGTACATGCATATTCACATAAACTCATGCTCAACTAAACACAGGCCACAGAAGAATCCTTACGATTCACTAACAGACGTTTGAGCAGATAAACACATGTACACAAACACATTCGAGCACTCGTGTGTTCACGAAAAGAGGTGTGGACCAAATTCAATCAGTTGTTCGACGTGATTCGTTATTAGGCATATAGCACGAGAACAGTGCAACTTTTTAGAAATGACTAGCAATCAAGTAAGCAACTCAGCGCGAATAGTACTTCCAAACAGTAGAACGTGAAACTGTGCCTATTTGCGGAAAACCCCGCTCCCTCAATCTTACAGTCATTTAGATCAGCCGCTCGCATGTAGGACTTCCTCTGAGGCCAGTTGGCCTTTAGTCGCAGTTACAAGGCGCAACCACTGATCACCCGTTTATGCAGCCTACAGCGAGGGCCAACCCCTTTCGCATCACAACCTAACCAATCAGCGCCAATTAACCAAACCAATTATCCCGTTTAAAAGAAAATTTAAACTATATTAACTTTAAAAGAAAAGAAAACTACTCATATTAACCACCATCTTATCTGGGGGTTCTGTCGAGGCGTTGGTAAAGGTATGCTCCGAGGACCCGTGATAATGACATCAGTTAACCGCCTCACTGTCAGCAGCTAGCGGCGAAGTGTCCTTCTTCCTCAGACGTCTTTCTTGATCCTCCATCTTAGGCCCTCAAGCGTCCTCTCCTGCTCGTGCACAAAGGAGCCAGACCGACGCAGTTAACGTCCTGTGGGAAACGAACTGGCCACCTAAGTAGGACTAGCAATGAGACGAGAGCTCCGTGATAGCTGACAGCCTTCTACTAACTAGCTCGATCAATAGGTTCGCTTATATCAACAGGTTGAAGATCATGCACAGGCCACAAGACGCGCGGACACAGTAACAAGCGCGTCTATCAAGTACGTGATATCATCCTCAAGAAACAATCAACCCTTCTCCCCTTTGGCTTTGCGGCTACTATTCTCCCCCTTCATACCAGCCTGTTCTAAACACAGCCAGCGTCACGGAAACTACTATCAGTCTTTTACGCGTTGGATGGGTCGAGAGCCTTTCACAGCACGCCTCACCAGTTTGCACGAGGAGAAAACAAGCTCACAGGTTATGCCAATCATTTGACGAGAGGAGAGGAGGGGTGTAAAAGCCAGATAGAGACGAGATGATAATGTCAGCTTCTGGTAGACTACTGATACGATTACCCACGCTGGAACCGACTCGGCCTTTCACCAACCACATACTGGCCAGCTAGCGATTGCAGGCATTCACACAGACGAAGAACGGCCGATCTGTGCTCAAAACGCTGGAAGAACCACGGTTAGCGCGCGACTAGCAGATCTCATGGTGACCTTTGCTATGCCTCACACAAGTGCCCTCTCCCTTGATGACCACTACCCCTGCCTTTTCTGGCGGGACCTCTCTCTTGTCTTTTCCGTCACTGCAGTGGGAGCAAGACATCAGGGAGCGTGCACGGATCAGTTGACGTTAGTTTCTCCCACTCGTACGTGCGTTCCTTTCTCGCGCGCCTTTTCTCTCTCCCGTTGACCCTCCTGCCCACGTGTATCCGCCTCAAGAACCCGCTATCGCATCTCGAAAAGAAAACTGGCCCCTTGAAGACCTGCAGCGTTCCGTAGGCACTAGACGCCGCGCATGAGCGTGGAAGCAGCAGTTGACATCAACCGCCTCTAGCAAGGTCGCGACCCGCTCATTCGCACGGCCTCCTCCTCTCTCTCTCTCTCGATCTCCATGTGCCTCCTTGCCACCGCCCCGTAACTCTTTCTCTCTCTCAGAGCGAACCCCGTTGACCTCTAGCCTCGCCACCTGTCGCGCGTGTTGCTCTCCCTCACTGCCTCACACCCGTTTCTTACCTTTTCCCTGTTTCCCTCCGGTCCCGCGGCCTCCAGTCCCGCGGCCCCTGGGAGTTAGCTGTCGTGAGCTGGCCTCGGGTCCCTTCTCTACCGGCTCCGCGGCTCGGTGGTGTTTCTGGATCTCCTCGGGTCTGTTCCAGGACCTGAGATCCGTTACTCGGTCCGCCTCGCTTATTTCGCTTTCCCCACCGGAGTCTCTCTCGTTATGTTGTTCCTCCCTTGTCTCAGTCCCAGTTGATGACTCGGTCTCATGATAGATGACCGTCACCCTCAAGTCCACAGTCACCCCATCTCGTCTGCACCTTCGTTCCGCCCTATCGCGCGCTTCGGAAATGGCAGCCTGCAGCCTCTGGTCACCTCGCATCTCTTCCTCTCTCCCCCCTTCTATGCAGACCTTCAGTCGGACTCCCTCTCCCCCATCATAGTTCAGGGCCGTCGTAATCAGAGGGCCTTCACCCGACACTGGAACCCAGCGCACTGTGTGTCGCCAACTGCCAGGCCTATAGCCGTGTAGCACCATGACTGGTCTCAAAATCAGACAAAACCTTGGTCCTAGGCACAGACAATCGGCATCCGCTAAACGTCCACTATTCTGTACCCTTCGCCTCGGCCGATTGGCGCTCGCACAGCAAAGTGGCTGGTGCACTAACGTCACGAAGCAGTCCGCAGCCACTAGATAACCAAGTCTCAGTCCACTTTTTCCCTTTTTATACGATCGGTAGTATGTTGTGACCCCAACGTTCTAAACGAGGTACCCTCTAAAACTCTGCTCGTCAGTAACCTGGGGCCATTAATTAAATGAAATAAACAATAGAATAAAAACGGATCAAATAAAAATAGCGAAGTCTCAGTGACCACCGGCGACTGCAGACTTTCTGTTGTCGACCCCCGTCGCTTCGCCTCGCCGAGAAGCGACTACAACCCTGAAGCGGTGGTCCCATAACGAGATCCCAACCGTTCGGGTTCTCACCTTAAAAGAGAGCACTGTGCTATTTCTACTGGGTGCCCGTGTCCGATGGAAAGGAGTGGGCTTATGACTCTCCACAAGGGGAAATGACCAGTCCGCGGTGAGAAATAGCACAGTGCTCTCTTTTAAGGTGAGAACCCGAACGGTTGGGCTT